TTTCAGCAATTTTGAGTTTTTAAAACTGCAAAAACAAACTTTGCTACTGTAACATTAGTTTGCACTGAACAATAATTTCAATGAAAACTAATAAAAATAAAAGTATTTGACTATACAAAACAATATATTCAGCTTCTAAGGATAAGATCTGATCATTCTTAGTTTTAATTAAGTAATCTTTATTTCAAGGAACATACTTTATTACATATTGTATAATAATTTATGGAAGCAAAATGTATAATCAGTAATAGTTATCTTATAAGGCCTGATGAAGCCAAACTATAAACTCAGAATTATCCATTGTAACTGGAAATGCTTAGTTTTCTCATTAAACACAAACAGTAAAATCATTATATCTTTTTTGTTAGTTTTGTTAGTTCCTAAACAAAATATAAAATACAGTGTAATTAAAAAGTATGAGTATAATGTTAACTAGGCAACTACTCTCAACAATGTTTTTCCCACCCTAACCTTAATGTCAGCACCTGTGTGCTTGTGTGTACATTTATCTGATCAAGTCAACACAGGCAGAAAGCCCAGGATGTCTGTTGGACTTACACTATTTGTTTCAGAGCTGGCAGACTGCTAGGTCTGCAAGAAGAGAAATATTGTGTAAGGAACATTATCTAGCTATTTCTAACAATAAAACAGGCCACTGTGTCCTAAATTTCAAAACACATCCTTAAAGAATATTTGTAAAAGTAGAGATGTGTTTATTTACTTTACTTTTACTGATGAATTGTAAAGTCTATGTAGCTGCTGAATGGATGACGTCTAAAGCAAAAGGCTAGACTGTACTGATAATCACTGTATACAGAGAACTATCTTCAGCCCAACTAAAGAATATGTAATGCACTTCTGAAGTTTTTTCCTATACACTTCTAATCATAAGAAATTCCCTGGGCTGGAGACTGGTTTCACCAGCTTTTAATTGCCAATATTTTATGCTGTGAAAGCTTGAAATAAAACCACTGATCTCTTATTAAAAATAAAATTATTGTATTAAATAAAGTGTTATATTCTTATTAAAGAAAAATAAATTTAAAACATGTTTAAATAACATTACAGTTGTATTTATTTCTAGTGAAAATTTATATGCCATTTGGAACAAAACTACTTGAGTCATCTGCTACAGGATTTCAACATGTTAAGTCATGAACTTTAAGTGATATCCAAAATTCAGAAAAAATGCACACAATAAGATATTATTAATATGAATGACCTTTCATTATGAATAGCTAAGCACTTTTAATGTAACATGAAATTTATTAAAAGTTATAATTCTAAAGTAGCCTGCTTGGTCATACTCAGCTTAAAGTTCATAATACAATTAAGCATAGGTGCAGTCTCAATATAATAATATATTTAAGTCTAATTAAGTTCACTAGCAAACAATTCACAAGAACAGTCATTATTATAGCTTTGTGATTATCTTTGAATCTCTTTTAACGTTTCTTTAACAGAAAGAGCAATTTGAGGATAAGCTATTCATTTTATGCTTCCATATTCCTTTTCACATCTCTGATAAATTGTAGTGATAACTACTATTAATGAATCTATGGCTAATATTACATTATTATATTAGACTGGATCCCCTAGAAGGAAAGATTTCTAGTAAACATGCACAGGAATGTACTGCATAGTATCATTCTTGCACATAAGAATACCTTTTTTGCATTTACCATATTTCTCTGGAAATACTTAAATGGCCATAGGTTTCGTACATGTTTCATTTTCATATGATTAACTATATAAATGGAAAGACTAACTATATGCACACTTTGTTTAAAATTCTTGATGGAATTATGATACATTTCTATAAAATACTGCTCAAATATATCTGCATTTGCAAGTTTTCAAAATGTATCTGTAATCTAGAAACACAATAGACAGGAAAATATATTTTAGTACTCAAAATTATAAAACTTATCACTTTAGAAGAACTGAAAATAGAATTCAGACTCATAAATCATAGACATCAGTGATAAAGAGTTTAAAGTTTAAGGTCTATATATGTCCTTAACAGAATCTGCTATGCCAACTGTAGCTTTAAAAGAATTTTTCAAATATTTCATAGCACAGATGATGCAACCCGTTTAAGAATTGTGAATACATTTGAAGAATAAACTTATTTTAATTCATAATTAGTGCTTATAGCAACATTACAAATCATAATTTCTTCAATACTTGATTTGCATTCATAACATAGTTTTCAAAATATAATCAAATGTATTTTAGAATAAAATTTCATCAGTTTTTACATATATTTGTATATGTTTATTTTTTGTAATATATTACTTGTAATTAATTAAAATGTAAATGGGCACTCATTTAAATCTCAGCAGACTATTAGTATATCCCATTTAAATTATTTTTTCTAATTCTGTATATTAACTGTATATAAAATTCAGGTACACATTCTAATTAGAAGTGCATTATAAACTCAGAAATTGTTACCGAAATCTATACATAAACTTACAAAAGATATAAAAGTCTGCTTGTCAAGTAATATCTCTCATGTTAATTAAAACTTTAAAACTCCAATGATAAATGGGCTTTGAACTTCCAATGATAAAACATAAATTGGGAAAATGTATTAAAATCTAGAATTTGTCTTAAAAAAGGCCTGTAGTGAGTAAGTCAAATGAATGAACGTATGGAAAAATATATAATTTCATCATATTCTATTTAAGATCAGAAAATCTATTTCATACATTTTAATACAGTAATATGGTAGGAAATGTATCACTTCATCAACCACTTTGATAAAGTTCTATAACCCACTACTTTCTGATATTTTAAAATACATATGTACACGTCTGTTTCTTTGCAGTGTTTAAAAAGGTATTCACTAATACAACTGGTTTCTGGGTTCATTGGTTTAAATGTTCAAGTTCTGACCTCACTGTCCTAGTGATTATTTATACTGAAGTATTGCACTACACTGCATGTTTAATTGATACCACAACTGGCAGAGAAACAAAACATTTAATACTGTGCTTTGATTTAAGCAAAAGAGCAACATGTGCAAGTCATTTGGTCAAATTCAAAGCAGCAAACATTTCCGCTTTCACAAGCAAAGTGGGCAAATTCAGTTTATTATTTCATCACCTTTGACAAATGCATATTTCAGCATGTTACTTTTATTCTGTAACACTTATCATTCAAAAAAACACAAATTCTCCCACAGCTCTCTACCTATTACAAAATTGTCTTATTTTAGTTGAAATATTTTAGCTAGTTTTATTTTTAATAAGATGGGAAGATGTGCCAGGGTTTGTAAGTACAATAGTACTATCAGGGAAATTAAGTTACAGGAACATATTCACTGCTAATCCTCAAGTATTGTTTTACTTAAAACAATACATTAAAATTCACTTGATGAACAGCCAGCTAAACTTGATGTATTTAAAAACAAACAGTTTTTACCTTTTATTTTTTACTTGGCAATGTGTACTTTCTCTCTACCATCAAACACAGTAAAACAGTTTTTGGCAAGCACTACTAAACTATTTTAAAACATTACCTACAACAACAACAGAATCAATATGCTACAGTATTCTGAATCCATAGCACAAAGCTAACATAAGGTAAAAACATCTATAAACCTAGAGTAGTCCAATAAGGTTTAAGAAAACCAAAACAAAAATCCTACTGATATATTAGAACAACTTTTTTGCATTTTAACAAGTTGACACAACATTCAGTTGCCTTATTTATGCACAAACAGCAATGGAAGGATTACTATTATCAGCTGGTGAAAAACAAGAAAATTGCCAGGGGGAGGCAGACCCCTAAAAGAACTTTCTAATCCAATTGCATGTCTCACTCTTATAATTGTTACAGAATTAAGAAACAACCCCCCCAAAAGTTTTATTTGTACTTACAATTGTTTTTTTTAAAGCAAAGGAAACAAAGAAGCAACAGAAAAGTTGTTTTTACATAATTTCAACTGAACATTTTATATTGAGAATGTTCAGGGACATAAAGCATATATATATATATATATATTTTAACAGCAGAATAACCTTAATTTCATTCACTGACAAATGATGCTAAATCACCATGAAATCATCAGCTACAGACAGGACACTTTACTTTTGCACTATGAGAACATCACCAACTACTACTGCACGTGAATGCATACTCTTGACAGCATGAGTCATTCTGCTGTGGAAAGCCTCCAAGACCAAGGATCATCTGAAAGCACTGAAAACCTTGGGGAAGCAGGAGGAGGTTCTCTTTATTCCTTTAGTCTGACTTAACCAGCTTACTCAAGACTAACCCTGTTAAACAAAGAGGAAAAAACTGAACCCCGGGGTGGAAGAGCAACAGTTCTGCTTTCTTAGAGCCTTCAGAACAGGTGCTACATGTAACTGGAGTCTCCCCGCAGCAGCCCAGGGCGACTACAAATATAAACATAGCTTAATATTTTAAACCTAAACACACTTCAGACTGACATAATCTCAGAGCACCGCGGCAATTCTCGCTGCGCTGCCTCTTCAAAATTTCCTGAGGGTGATTCCCCCCCCCGATAACATTTGTTACCTATCAAAGCAGAAAAACACCAAAAACCGGTCCTCCACAGGATCGCGCGCGCGGACGCCGTTTCAGGACATTTCGTTTCCCACCGATATTCGCTTTCGCGAGTGATTTACCGATGATCCAAGAAGAGATTTTGCCGGCCGTACAACTAGGTCATTAGGGAGAAATTAGCTGGACTCATCACTGAGGCGACATGGATAATAAAGAGAAGTGAGGTCCTAGGCAATGCCCGGGCTCATGACTACGAGAAAAAGTTTGCTCTCTTTTTACAAACAAGTGTCCCCCCCACACACACACACTTACGCGTACTTGAGAGGCAAAGCCCCTGGGAGCGTCCGAAAGAGAAGTCGTTTGTCCGTTTCCCCGAGGCACCCCTTTGAAAGAAGCACAATGCTGCCGTGCCAAACCCCTCAAGACTGCGCCGGTGCTAAAAGTGCGCCGTCTTCCTTCCTTACCTGGGATTGGTGCTGTTCCAGTAGACGGCATAGCGATCGGCCACCGTTTTGGAGCTGGGATCTTGGCTGAAGACGCACGTCCAGAGCAGCAGAAAGACCAGCGTCAACATCTCCACGTGGAACATCACTCCCCGCCGCAAGACTCGGCGAAGTGGGAGAGAGAGAAGAACAAAGGAAAACACCGAGAGAAGGGAAGGAGGAGGAGGAGGAAAGGGGAAAAAAAGAGAAGAAGGAAGGACGAACCACAGAAAGTCACAGGACACACACAAAGAGAAAAGTACAAGGGAAACGAGGAGGCTTGAGGAGATCCCCGCCGAAAAAAAGCCGGTCCCGAGGAGAGATCCTTAGTAGGGAGCCTGAGTGCCCCGATAGGGGGAGCTGGGCGACGAGACGGGCAGCAGCAGCAGCAGGCGGCGGCGGCGAAGGAGAAGGCGGGAGGCGCTCATTCACCGCGGCGAGTCCTGTGTGGAGCCTAAGGCGAGACATGCACCGGCCCTGCCCCCGTCCAGCGCTGGTATGGGCGGCTCCGCCGTCCTGGCTTCCCCTCCCCTCAGAAAGGGCTGCTCTCCCCCCGCCCCGCGCTCTCCCTCTCTAGGACTTTCTTCTTTCCGCCTTTTGGCGCGAAGGGTCCGAGGGAGCGGAGATGGAGGCCGACGAGGAGAAGGAGCTGCTGCGGCAAAGCTTCCGAGGCGGCAGCAGACAGCCGCTTGGGCTCGCTTATCTCCTGCTGCTGCTGCTGCTGCTGCTGCTGCTGCTGCGGGAGGCCGGAGTTGAAGCGTCTGGCTCACTCTGGGAGGGATGCTCCGTTCTTCTTCTTCGGCTGATGGATGGGAGGAAAACCCGGCCGGAATCCACAGACCCAGAACCGGCGGCAGGAAAGGAGGGGAGAGAGGATCGAGAGGAGTTTGCAATCCCAACCGACTCGCTTCTGGAAGGGGTGCTCGGAAAAGAGAGGATGAGAAGCGGAAAGTGGGAGAAAGGATGTCTTCCAGCTCTCGGGGCTTCTTTCTCTGAGAGGGCGAGGAAGCAGCTTTTCCGCTCCCCGGGAGGTGGGAGCAGGCGGTCTCTCCTTCCAGCTTCGCCAAGTGGCTCCGGAGCGAAGCGAGGTCCGAGTCCCTGGAATGTCAACTTTGCGAAAGAGGGAGGCGGCGGTGGGATTAAAATAAAACGGGGGAGGCGGAGGGGGGGGGGGGGGGGGGGGGGAAAAAAAACGGGGGGGGGGGGGGGGGGGGGGGGGGGGAGAAGAGGTCAAGGAAACCCAGCAGACGCCTACATCAGAGGGCGAGCAAGAAAGGCAGGGCGATGGGGGAAGAGGAAGAAAGCTATCCGGGGCTTGCCCGGCAGGCAGCTGCTCCCCGCTCTCAGAAATCGCCGCGGTGGGAGTGGAAAGAAGCGGGGGAGCGCCTCTCTCCCCAGTCCGCCAAGCAAATGAAAGAAAAGTCGAATGCAGCGGCTGGCAGGCAGGGACCGCGAGGAACAGCCAGGATTGGAGGAGCAGAAGTCAACACTGCCAAAGAGGAGGAAGGAAAGGGAAAGGGGAGGGGGGGGTCTTTAAATAGTCACGCCCACTTTTTTCTCTTTTTTCTTTCTTTCTTTCTTTCTTTTTTTTTTTTGCAACGACCGGTTTCTTGCCCGCGTATAAATCGTCAGCGGTCACCAAGGAAAAGCGGGGATGCTCGCGGGATAGCTGGCTGTGAGCAACAGACGGGCTGCGTAGATGCTCTATGCGGGGACCGTGGCAGACATCCTACATGTGTCTGCGCGCAAGGTTTGGAAGCCTCCGTTTTATGTCAGTGCGTGTGCACAAAAACAGCGCAAGCGGCTGGCTTGGGAGCGAAAGCGCTGCTGCTAGATCATGTGGGATTTTTGCAGGCAGTTTACTTGTGTGGGAAGAAGGAGGACGAGGACGAGGAAGCTCGGAGCAGCCAGTCAGAGCCCAGATTGTTTGCTTATTGATTGCTTTTCCCCTTTTTCTGTCCCTCCAACCCGATTGGACTCCGATCTTATCAAAAGAGGCGTCTCCTTCGCCTTATGGCCCGCCCTTACACCAAACAGACTCTCCCACCTTCTGAAAACCTGACTAATTGAATTACACCAAGTGGTTTCTTGATGCAGCAGGTAACCGTTTCCACGGGGGAACAGCGGCAGAATTGCAGGGCGATGCCCGGTGCCGGCTCTTGGATCTTAGCTCTTCCCACTCCCCCGTGGAAAGGGAGGTGAAAGGAGAACCAAGTGAAAGCCATTCACCCAGATCTGGGAGGAAGGAATGCGGCATCGGCTGCCGAAGGAAGCGATCATATGCCGAGATCCATGGAATTTCATCCCAACCTGCCAGCTTAGTCTGGCTCTTTTGAGAGTGTGATTTGTTTTTAAAGGGAGGGGGAGGGAGAGAAATGAGCTTAACCATCTGATAAACAATTTGCGTGGAATCTTCTGTTCCCGATGGATGCCTTGCTAAAAAGCAGGTCAATCCTAGAAGTTTGCATAAGATTGTTCAAAATAAAGTGCTCTTTGCTCGATCTGCACTTACATTTGTAGGTTCCCAAGCCTCTCACTGAGTTGAATACCCTTTCCCATCCTTGAGTCGGCAAAAACGACAGTGCTTGACTGTGTATATCCTGCTCTCTTTTTCCAGGGTTGGCCAGCTACCTAACTTTTTTCCAGAATAGCAGGTGATAAAGTCTATTTGATTTTACAAAGATCACAGAAGACGGTGCTTTAACTCTGTCTTATTCCTGGGTGGGGACAAGGCAAACTCAGATGACATGGCAGAAAAAAAGTATGCCAGAAAAGGTTAATGCCATGTCATGCTTTGATGCAAGCTGTAATGTCAGAACATGTGCTGCTGAGAGAGAAATTGTGGACCTTAGCAAGTCCCATTTCATCCGCTTTGTTCCCAGGACAGATACCTTAATGTCTCCAGGCAGATGCATTTGTATGCTACCCCCGCTAGTGAGCCGGCTCAGGTGACCTTTCTCCAGAAAGCAATTTTAAAGTGTTGTACTTTTATATGGATCCACCCATCACCCCTTCACATATTTTTTTTTTAAAAAAACTACCCCAGTGGGGACCAAAATCCCAGGCCAATAACTAAAAATAAACGCCGTTCCACAAGTTATAAGTGGAACTTGACTATACCAGAAAATAAATTAAGAAGAAAGGGAGTGCAATGAATTGTACGCCTTTCAGAATCACTCTGTAAGTGAGATGGGCAGTCTCTAAATTTGATATATAAATAAATAAAATTAATCTTCTTAAAGGAATATAGTCTGCTTTGTGTCTGTTCTTTTGACAACTTGGGGAAAGACATGCAATACATTTTGGGCAGGGGTTTTCCTTCCTGCTTTCTAACGGCATTACTTTTAATTCTGTGAGAAATGTTCTTTCAAGTATAACAAAATAGTTTTTCAGCAACTGCACCCTCCCCTAGAAGTATGTGTTTTAACTGCTCTCTCTGGCTAGAATTTTTTGAAGCTTTCCAGTTGTTTCAAAGTGCCCATGTTCCCTCTAGTGGTGAATTGTAAGACAACACCTCAGGCATTCTGCACTGGGTTTATTTCAATCAGTTTGCCTATACCAGGTAAGATATGCTTCAGTATTTTTTAAAAAATCCATTAAGAGTTGCTAAAAATATGAAATAAACTTTTCAGATAATCTAAGAATAGGAAAGGTTTTGAGAATGCAAATCTACCAAAATATATTTCATGACATGGAGGGGTAGATTCAAATTAATACCATAATAGATGTAAATATACATAACAAATATAATATAATATTTGCTGACACTGAAACAGAAAAGTATGCCACTGTACTCTGCATTATAGTTTTCCATATTGCTGAAGCTGGTTTTTTTCCTTGTAGTTATGCCCAAGATGGCCAGTATAGAATTAAGCTGGTATAGTGATAAATTATTAAGAGGATAACAGGTTACAAGCAAAATGCAATTGTCATAGTTCTATTTTCAAGCAATTGACATTAAAGAATAAACAGAAGCAATAGCACAATAACTTTGGATCCATTATCCTTTTCCCCCCATGGCTTTCATGGCAAGTGCCACTACAAAATAATTCATGTGGGTTTTTTGACTTAAATTTTATCTATTAATCTGTGTGCCTTGTAATTAAACAATTATTGAAACTACTTATTTTTGCCAATAAATATCTTCGACTTTTGTCTATAATTATAATCATAAGGTACGTTAAAGAAGTGAGTTATTCTGCATAAACATGCACTAGAAATTGAAATAAAGAATTTTCACTGAGGAATACGAACAAATATAACACAATAGTTGCGATGCTTCCCCTTGCCACTCTAACAATCAACAAATACTTCCATGGAACTTCTTCCTTAGCTAAAATGAAAAATAAACAAACGGGACCTACTAAAGAGATTATTTTACAAGTCATGTCTTAGAGTGCATGGCACAGGAGTTGTTAATAGGAAATAAATGCAGAAGACAGTGCATTTTAAAATGGAATAATACATTTTTACAGATTTTTAATACTCAACATAAAAATGTCTTGCACTGAATTAGTTCCCTGATCCACTTACCTTCTATTATTTTTCATTTCTTGAACTGGGCTCAAGATTCACATTTAAGCTATTGTGCTGTTTGAAGAGAGCTTATTGATTCCCATCCTTTACCATTTTAATTAAGGATGCAGAATGGAGAAAATGAAGCAGAGGAAAGAAAATTTGAGGGCTACCTGCTACTAGTGAATTAGCCCAAAATAATCCATGCTTGTGGTTGAAAGAGGAATATTTGCCTTTTCACTTTGGTAACACACACAATAATAAGGCCTATTAACACACATTGAGGTTGTATGAAGAATATTTATTCTGCTTTTGTATCTGCGTGCATGTAAATACATTTTTCCAGAAGGGAAGCTGGCAAAACACAAAATGGACATTATGTTTCAAAAGTATATTGTACAGTTGACTATTGACAAACAGTCTCAGAAGACTTTCATTTTGGCATTTATTTTTAGAAAAGTAGCCATGTTAGTTTGTTTCAGTCCATTAAGTAGCATCTTAAAGACTTAATATGTTTGATTAAATAGTTCTACATAATTTGCCTTAAATGATAATAAAGAAAGATAAATATTTCCCAGGCCAGGAAAAAAAAAACGG